CAATGAGGAGGCAGAAGGTGGACTTTGGGAATAGCTAGAGAACATCACAGAGCTGTGTTAGGGCCACATAGGTATAAGCTTTATATATATATTATATACTGTTGGAGGGGTATACACACACACACACACACACTTCAGAGGCATTCCCCATATTTCAAATCAAGGAACACACTTCCAGGATTTGCGGGGCTTGTCTATAGTTCCTCAGGAAGAAAGGGGAGGGGCAGGGTTTGAACCCAGCGCTGTGGCTAACAGCTCTGAGTCTGAAGGCTCTGTGTCCTCACCATGTGGTGTCCCATGCCACATTGAGCCATCTTATTGAGACAACGGATGGTTGATAACCTGGCCCTCCAGTGTCTTCAGAGCCTCCTGCCTTTGCACACACACTTCCTCCTCTGACAACGTTATTCCTAGTGTGTGTAGCATGTGCCTTCCTGTCTACCCTCCGACCCGGTTCTCCCCAACCCCTAAGGCCTGGGAGAGCTCTTTCCCCCCCCCCCCCATGGTTCTTCTTTTTTGTGACTGTTGTGATTATTGTATTTTAATAATGCACATTACCTGAGGATTGTCTAGCTGGACACAGCATCTTAGAGTTTGAAAAAAAAGAGGTTAAGTTTGAATGAAAATATAGTCTCCTGACTAGACAAAGGAATAAAACAGAGGTCATCACCCTGTATAAATTGTTGCGTTCATGCATTTATACATTTGGATTTCTAAAATGAAAATTATAGGAGCGTGGTGTCACATGCCTTTTAATCTCAGCGCTTGGAAGGCAGAGACGCAGGCAGTGGGTCTCTGTGAATTCGAGGCCAGCCTGGTTTACCTAACGAGTTCCAGGACAGCCAGGGCTATGTAGAGAGACCCCGCCTTCATCTCAAACAAACAAATAAACAAACAAAAAACTCCAAACCAAAACAACAACTACAGAAATTATAATCTAGCCCCTGGTTTACATTTTATTGGCATTCACAGCAAACGGGTAATACTGCTGCTGCTGATTTTTTTTTTTTTTGGTAATTTACATAAAACAGCATCAATAAAGCACCAAGCATCATTTCCCTTGAAAGTTCCAACTTACAAAATAAAGTCAGTATTTTGTTTCCTGTGCTGGGGCTTGAACCCAGGGATGAGCCACGTCTCTGTCCTACCACCCTTTTGACGCTTCAGACACCCTCTTTCTTATTACTGTGCCACTTCCCTCATGGCTTGGGCATGTGTCTGTCATTCAGTGTTTTCTGCCCTGCCCAACAAGGAAAGGCTCATTTTAAAAGTTATTCATCGAGTGCCCCAGGTGCTCAATGGCCAAGTACACCTTGGCCTAGAGTGAGGTGCAGAAACCAATGTGGTCTGCGCTTTCCGGGAGGACCTGGAGCTGCTTGTTAGACTGTGCTCTTGGCTGACAAGCCTTCAGTGTGTGTGCACGCCACTTCTTAGACCTTGAGGTCTCAGAACTGCTGGGTACCCCCCACCCACCGCACTAGAAGGAATGCTATAGGAGGAGGGCCAGGTGGGGCAAGCAGAATATTCTGGAAAGGAGCTGTTTTCAGCCCAGGCACCGAGACTACAGAGAGAGGCGCTTTTCTTTCTTTCTTTCTTTCTTTCTTTCTTTCTTTCTTTCTTTCTTTCTTTCTTTCTTTCCTTCCTTCCTTCCTTCCTTCCTTCCTTCCTTCCTTCCTTCCTTC